GAAGTGAAAGTATTCTTTCACAGTGATAACAGCTGCATCGTGCCATTATGTGTCCACAAGACTGTGACTACGAGTGCGACAAAGGCGGGAGATCAGCTGTATGTCGACCAGAAAATGTTTCCATGGACTGAAAACGTGGAAATATCAGCTTTTAGGCCGGCTGCAGCTACTTTGCGGGGATAGATCTTGACTAGGTAGCGACCCCAGATACGTGCACACGCGATTGCGCCGTTTCGTACAAGCACATGAACTTCCGGGAGAATAAATTTTCCATTCTAAGACGACATCCGTCTTGCTTACTTTTCCAATCGTCAACCTAGGGGAACGCAACTTTATATTTTGCACTCGTGAATACAGTCGAGCCTACTTATAACGAACCTGAGCCTGACGCGGCATCCGTTCGCTGTATCCCGAAGTTCGTAGTAAATAAAACACAGCTTTTAAAAAAGTTGCGAGTGAAAACACAAACTTTTTTGCCCAAAAAAGTCCGTGATGCACTTGTTTCGAAGAGTAGAAGCGGTAAGGGCGGTTTCTAGTTTATTTCATACACTAGAGACCGCCCATACACTTTTTTCATTGAGGCGCGAGGCATAGGCTGCATGAAGAACTGGCTCCAAAGTTTCGTCGTTCTCGCAATTTCATTTCTCCAAATCGCTTTTGCCACGTACATCGTTCCCAATGCCCTAATCCGTGCACGGTTCCGCGGTGTTGGCATCATCATCGACCGTAATGAAACTATCGCAACAGATGTTCCACTCTTTCTCCCATGTCGGAGTCGACGGCGTGCTACCACAAATCGCCACTCAACTGATTCACTTCGGAAGCTTCAGACTCGGCATCGGGCCTGACGTCGACGAAGTCGGTCTCGCAAAAACAGTTTCGCGCGCCTGTAGCCGTCACCGCCACCCACGGAATATACACCATCTCCACAACCGAATACCGGGACACCTGAAGTGGCAAAATGGCTGCCAGGTGGTCAACAGCTATGCTTTGCAGAGCAAGCACTCCGCAACGTGGTACCTAACGCGCGGATTACGCTCAAGCCAAGCAGTCACACTTTCGATGTTTTGTTCAGCAGCAGGAAAAAGCGTGCAAGTCCTCCCGTCTGCCATCCTGATCACACACGCACACCAAGAGCGAGCAAGACGCAAACATGCAACACACATGCCAGAACGCCCGGAATAGCTCTGGGCCCGTTTCTAGTCAGAAAATGAAACTAACACGAGCGAGCGTGGCTGGCGCGTGGAGCAGTGGAGACGGGCGAAGGGGTTGCGATCAAGAGAAGAGAGCAGATTTGCGAGAGAAGGGCAAGGAGTTGCGATACAGTGAAAAGAGGGGAGGACACGGCGGGAGGGCGACCTTGAAAACCAAAAAAGGTGGGAAGAAGGTAAGTCAGATAGCTTGCTTGAAAAGTCTGCGAAACGTGCAACTCGTCCATAGAAAAACTTGAAAGAGTGTCTACGCGCGCAGAGGTCAAAGCATGGCCGCCTAGATCTGGGCGAACGGCAGTGTTCAAAGAGTTGGTGGTCGTGGTCAAAAAATCGTTTTGTTGCGCCGGCGGACGTGCGTAGCCTCACCGACTTCGATATTTCGCGATTCGTTCCGCGCAAATTAACAGCCGTTTCCACGCTTCCGCATGCGTGTAGAAGGTACGCTGAACTGAGTGCGAATGGAGCGAGAACAGGTCCTAAACACAAAACGAATCGCCAATTATCAGAGTCGGTGGGGTAGCGTGCGCGCGTGCACTAGACGCAGACGATCAGATACAGACGGTGGCCGACGATGTTGGCTAATGGTCCCGTCACACTAGGTCGGTGACGCCATTGACAGTACCAGAAATCAAAAACAGAGGAGATGGTTGACCGGTCTTTGAAAGAGCAGTGGCAGTGTGAAAACATGGGCCTCTTCTGGCGATGCGGGGTGCTCAGTGTAGTGGGGAGGACGAAGCACAGAGGGGTGCGTAACAAAAAGCGGTCGAGGAGAGCAGCAACTACAAGGGCATGAAGGAAGGGCCGGCGCTTAACAATAGGAATGTATGGGCACCTCGCCGATGCCTGATCCGTGGTGGAAAGTGGTTTCCCGGGAAGTAAGCTGTGCACCAACCCCGTTCACTGTAACCGATCGGTGGCGCTCGGAGACATTCGTTGCAAGTGCGGTTTTGTGCCACTAAACAATGTACATTTTCACGGACACACAAATATTGTTCGTTTTAAGCGAAAGTTCATTTTAAGTGGGGCCGTTATATGTGGGCTCGACTGTATTTGCTTCACGCTTGATTCGAGTCAAGGTGTTCTTTTTTCTGTTGGGACGAAATCTGAATGTCGTTGTAAGATGCGAGGTCGGCGTAAAACTGCGTTGTATAACCAAGGTTTTTAATGCATTATTCCTATGGGGATTTCACCGGGACCTAACCGATTGATCATAAAATGTGGGTCGTCGCGAAACCGGGGGACATAAAATCAAAGTTTCACTGTAGCTTTGACGGGACCTCAGCGTGAGTTCAAATTAACCAGAAGTTCGAATTAAGCATATTTGAATTAATGAGGTCCGACTGTGTTTATTTTCGCCACACGCGTGGTTGCGTAGCGGTACATCGGGCTGCGAGGCGGTTTCCTTCTTTGCACGCTTATAGGAGTGTGCCCATTTGAGCATACATTGCCAGAAACTGTTATAATGGATTAACGAAATAATGGATATAATGAAATAATTGTGGCTCCTCTTCAACTTCGTTATAATGAGGTTTGAGTGTATTACCAGCAACCTACCGACAGCAAGCAGCAGCAGTGGCCCACACAATAGCATCGACCGTGTGACTGCGTCCTTCTCTCAAGCGACCAGCCATAAGCGATATTTTTCACGGGCAAATGCATGTTTTTTTTCATCACTCCCTTTTCTGAAAACTTAGGCTATAGCTGCAGCATGAGGCTGCGTTGCATGTTAGGAGTCAACTTATAATTGGCAATATAAGTTAGGTATTAAAATGATGAGAGGGACATTAAATGTGTGCACTGAGAATGAGTGGCAAATGGTTGGAATAATAAAACTATGGATATATTAAATATAGATAAAAACTACGGATAAAAAAATTGGGGCAGCTTTAGGCGTTGTTAAGGGTCACTAAAGAGGAACATTGACTCAATTTAGATTGACAAACTGGACTCTAAGATTCTAATGCTATTTGTTTCACTATCCCAAGTTCATTATTAGAAGAAAAAATTTAGGTCAAAGTTTCATTTTTAAATTTCGCGCCAGATCACCACACGTGGTGTAGGAAATTTCAAAATGTATTTTCTGTTTTCTGTGGCACCCACAGATTGCAAGATACTTCATTTTTATCCATTAGAAGCTACGTAGTACCGAATAGGCACCTTCGAAATTTCTTACGTCACGGTGTTTGGCGCGGGAATCCCAAGGTGGTATCGCCAACTACATTGTCTTTTCTAACGTTTTCTCGCTTACTAAGTGCCGTGTCACAGCGGAAGTAATGTTTTCAGGAGTGTGAAAGTGTACTTTACTAACATGCGAAAAATCCTTTTGCTCTTTACTGTATCTTTAATAGTTGAACGCAATAGCGATACTCTGCTCCTAGTGTGTACTTGAACCACTTGGTGCATGTTTTCTTATTGCGTGATGTTTCTAGAGAAGTTGAATTTGTAGATTGCTCTAATTTAATTGATAAAGTTGATAGCGGCTAGCTCGAATAGAAAGATCCGCGTGAGCAAGCGAACAACAGGCGTTGTTTGCATGCTTGCGGATACCCGGACTCACCCGAACACATAAACTCCACCTCTTACGTCACAATTACCACCGCTTGGATCCACCATTGAGAAGGGTCCTAATAGTGGGTCCCGCAAGGATGTTTTAAGATTCACAAAGGCTGAGGACTAATGCGGGCACATTCACTTTTATTTTTTAATTTACAATTTTGCATTGTAGTTTCGACTTAACGAATGCCACCGCATGACTGATGCAGTTAGGTAGTCTGTGAACAGCGATAAATCCCCATGGCAGTGCCTCTCTGTGTTCGTCAAAGTGCTGAAAAACTTCTTAAACTGCGCCAGAAGATGAAGACAAAAGTAAGAAACCATTCAGAAAACTTTTTTTTTCACTAATTTAAAGAATGGTGTTTAGAATGCTAGACAGCACGTTTCTTTATTTGTGGCTGACTATGCAGCTCAGTTTGTACATGCGCTGGCTTGCAATGGCATGACGTCTGTTTCGTAATCAATATGCGTGGCAGGCACTAAGACCCGCGCGAGCAGCAGTTGCACATCATGCCAGGTGCGCTCTATGCTGTCATTTAGGCTTAGCTTTGCAATAGGCAAAGCCAAGAACGCTGCATAGTGCGATTAAGAGGCATCTCCTTTACTTTGTTTGAAATAACCAACTTTAACACGGCCGAATCTTCTTTTTCGTGAAGACACCATTTGCAGCGTGCAGTGTCAATAGCTGTTGCCACTTGCCCGCAGTGGCTACATTACGGTATGCAGAGTACGGCACGCAAAAGAACTCAAATGGAAGGGGGAAAAAAAACTTTTTAACACGTTCTTTAACAAATAAAAGTTGCTATCACTGACATACTAAACTTTCAGCAATAGAATCACAAGCAGTGACACAGAGACTTTGGTTAGGCTGAATATATTGAAAAAAAAAAAAAAAAAAACATCCATGCAATGCAGCGGGCCGAGTGACCAAGAATAATTTTGGGTCATAAACAGTTCGATGCGGTGTAAACAGGTGGACTTATGAACTTTGGCGCAGTTGGCGCGAGCTGTACTCAAATGTGCGCACCAAGGTGCAGGGATATAAATTGTAGCAAAATGTCACAACATGCACAGTTAAACCACTAGTGATCATAGGCACTCTTGAACAGTTACTGCATTTTCTATTTATTGCTGGCATTTATTGGTGACTCAATACAACATGTAGAAAGAAAGGACACAAGGAATGTGAAAAAAAAAAAAGGAAATGAAAGAGAAAATATAGGACACAGAACATACGTGATGCCTTTCTGTACAACTCGGTTGCGGCAGTCATTCCAGCAGGTGCATGCTTGGTTGCACTCAAACAGCATTGGAGGATCCAGTAGGTCGAATTCCGGAAGAAGAATGCCATTCTATAGAAAAGGATATAAATTCTATTGCACAAGCTTGTCATTTTCCCATCATCAATAGTTTAGCAATCTCCCCCTCTCCACCTCTATCAGTTTTTCTCACACCTTTCAACATTAATTCTCTTAAACTGCACCCCAAACTGGCCTCATGCCTTTCATTTCTGCCCCCCTTTTCTGCACTTACAAGAGCTCTACAAAATTTCTCTTACGCATATAGTCTGAAAGCTTTGCCAATCTGCAGTAAACATTTCTCTGAATGTCTGAGCTGAACATTATTGTCCTGCATGTAGTAGCAAATTTACAATTGCATTAAAGAAACAGCCCAGAATGGGTTGATCTCTTCATAACAATGTAGCCCAGAATGGGTTGATCTCTTCATAACAATGTATCACCAGCTATAAAGCAAGCAGCGCGGACTACGCAGCAAGCAGGCTGCACTCAACGAGCATTTATATGATTTTATGAATGCCATGCTGACAAATGACCTTGAAGTCGACATGTTCCTTTGTTGTGTAGGTATCACTGCAACCGTCAGGTGCCACCTCCCTGTGGAGGTGCCACACATGTATGTGCAGGAACTGGCAGCCAGTATGTTCAAAGCAAAAAAAAAAAAACAGCTCAAGCCCAAGACGCACGGCATCGTGATTTAAAAAGTGGTGCGTTATTCTCTCAAGTTTGACACTTGATCGATTACACAAAATTTTCAGACATGTGACACAACAAGAAAAAAAAATGCACGCTTTTATTTCTTGCTTCTCAGAGCCACAGTTACATCATACATAGCTCTGAATGATTGTAGAAAAGCTTTTAGATGTAAGCAATCATACCAGGGCTCCTAATTATAATGCAAATGTTAAACTGATTACACATGTATGCAGGGCAAGATAAGCTACAACCAGTAAAATCTAGTAGTCCCTTCCCACATTTAGAACACTGAATACTATGGCAAAGCTAACTTTACGTGCATTGCAGTGAGGGTTAACCACAGTTCCTAGCAGAGATAAAGATAACATGCCGAACCATAAATAATTGAAGTCACACAAACTGAGTGGCGTCCCCTCTTTTAAAGAATGTCACGAAACAAAAATGAAGATGCTCAGTTGTAATTTTCCCTACTTCAATTAGAATTAGACATGCCAATTTTGAAAGTTTTTGCACAATATCCAGTCTTTAATTAATGATGCCAGTTAAAATTATAGTTTCCTAAAGCTCCTAAACAATCATGCAGGCATACCAGCCACCATAGGCACTAACATGTTTCGTCAGTGAAACGTCATGACTAGAGAAGTTATACACAGAGCATTAGCTTTCTTTTGCTACAAAATGAAAGATTTATAATAACCAGGAAAGAAAAAAAAACAGCAATTTTTGTCTTCTGAGTTGGTATACTATAGAAGTGCAGCAAGTGATCTGCGTTGTTCTGGTTTCAAGTACATCCGGGCTCTATCACATTAGAGTACCCAGTCATGTGTTACCTTCGCTCACTCAGGGCCACGTCCCAGTGTTTTTCTTATTGGTTGCTTTAGATTGTGTTTTACGGCGTGTTTTGGGGGGCTTTTATGAGCATTGTCTGACAGTGCTGCACAACTTGACAAAAGTGAAAACAACGTCCGCGGCGGCTTTATGGTGCTGCAATCGAGATGCTATGGTGCTACGAACTTCAGTCAAGTATTGCTCAGCAAACATCGCTGCGTTGCCATGTTTTGTCGACGACAGGGTTTTTTTATTGGCTGACTTAAAAGGGCCCTGAAACACTTTTTCAAGTAAACATGTAATGAATTCACTGAAAGAGCTCATTGCTTCATGAATTCAACTCCGCAAAAATTTTAAAAATCTGTCCAGTGCGAGTTGATGCATACTGCAATTGCATTCTCTCTTTTCTCGTCCTGACGAAAGCGCTGGACGCTAAACAGAGAGAGATGGCAGGAGCAAAAAAAAAAAAAAAAAAAAAAAAAAATGTGACGCACGCCACGTGACTTCGAGCACTTTTTTTTTTTTTCGAATGCGCGGCTTTTTCAGTGTGATCGCGCGCGTAGCGTGGACAAGTGACGGTCTCCTACGGCGATCTCTGTAACGACCGAACGCCCGATGTTCAAATCAGCCAATGGCTAATAGATGGAATTTCTACGAGCGATTATTAGCATTTTCCGTCAATTGTCCAGAGAAGAGAAAGCAATTTTTAGCCGACTTTGATAATTTATTGTGGATTCCAGGCCGCGTGCTGCGCTATAATAATTGGCTCGCGTGTTGTCGGGAGCCTCTACTACCAATCGGCAGCGTTTTCTGACCTTGCTCAAAAAGTGTTGCAGGGCCCCTTTAAGTGGGATTGAACCTGGACGATGAGACGAGTCGAGGTATAGTGTTGAATGAGCGGCCAAGGTTCTGAATGCTCATGTAGGTGAAAACAACCGCTTCAAGTTAGAGGGTAGAGGGGAGGGTCCTGTAGCAAGTTGTTGGGGCTCCTGACGACCAGAAAGTTTTTAGAACTACTGCCCTTTATTATTTTAATTTGGGGTGGGGTTAGGACTGTTTATCCAGATATTTTTCACCACACCTGTACAACCAAGAGTACTGGTCGGAAATTGCAGGTTTCCAAGCAAAACAAGATAGTGGGGCCGGTAGGCCAATGTAAATTAACTTGTTTGATTTATATGCGGAGTTTAACATCTCAAAACCACCATATGATAATGAGAAAGGACATATTGAAGGGCTACAGAAATTTCTATCACCTGGGGTTCTTTAATGTGCATACGAATTTGAGCACACAGGCCTACAGCATTTTCGCCTCCATTAAAAATGCAGCCACCACAACCGGGATTCGATCTGCAATCTGCGGGTCAGCCGTAGAGTACCTTAGCCACTAGACCACCGCAGCGCGGCAATATAGGATAACTTAAAAGGTGCTATTCAGCCCCTTTCATTCTAACAACATAATTGTACAACAAACTTAAGAATAAAGAAGCATTGTAGTAACAATGTAGTGACTTGGCACTTAGAACTCTATCACTGCACCTTCCTACTGTACACATGCCTGAAGTCCAAAATTTACAAAAGAAAAAAAAAAAAAACTCTCCGAACTTGCATTTATATAAGCGCCAAAGCAGTAATGACCCATTTGTCTTAAAAGAACACACACATGTCAGTGCTTAAACATTAGATAATAACATTTAAAATCTCCTTTAAAATCTCTTGTATCTTTTAAAAAAGAGCAAACAAGTCCAGAAAAAGATGAACAGAGACCCTTTTTATGCACGCAAAATTTCACGAGTAACCTAGCAATGCCGAAGCGTCACAATGCTTCAAGCTCTTGCACCTTGTAAGGAATGAAGGTAAACACCTTAAATGCTTTAACTGTCCCAAAACTGCTTTAGTCCTAGCGGAATAGGTATTCCCCTGTAGTATTCAAGACGAGAAACCCTAATCTATGGCTAAAATTGTGTGTCATCCACTAGATGGCAGCATTTACTAGACTATATTAAAGCCTCTATAACTTGAAAGTAGCGACACTCCCCTCTATGCACGCGTTTTCCTCCTTGGTTCTTTTCAGACTTTTACCATCTCCTGGCCAGCGCGGCCATGAACCCTCCACTTGCTCACTGTAGCCACCACATTAGAACCAATCGCGGGCTTGTTTATTCAGCTCCTTGACGCATTATGCCAGGTTCTATCACTTGTAAAAAAAAAAAAAAAAACACCTGGAGGAAAATAGGATTTAAGTAGAACACAGCGGCTGATATATATTTTAATCCGCTTCAATAAATACAAGCGGAAGTACTTGAAAAAAAATTAGTACCAACTATCGGCTGAGCGGTTTACCCCGTCTACGCTTCTGCTCTTTCTGACGTAGAGGCGTTGATTGATTGATTGATATGTGGGGTTTAACGTCCCAAAAACACTATATGATTATGAGAGACGCCGTATTGGATGGCTCTGGAAATTTTGACCACCTGGGGTTCTTTTACGTGCACCCAAATCTGAGCACACGAGCTTACAGCATTTCTGCGTCCATCGGAAATGCAGCCGCCGCAGCCGGGATTCGATCACGCGAGCTGCGGGTCAGCAGCCGAGTACCTTAGCCACTAAACCACCGCAGCGGAGCAATATGGAGGCATGATAAGCACTTTAATGGAAGTGCATAAGGTTTAAGCTGAACTTTTATCATTTACTGTGTTCTTGATGAGCTGAAAGAAGGTAGTCTAGAAAGAATATGGCACTTTAACTAATGAATTTAGCGGTAGACCCGATGCACCTTTATACCTACACCGACGTGAAAATTCATGCCGTCTTACCAAAAAGCCAGAGTGCTATTAATGAACGTTCCTGTATTCCGTGCGCACACTCACATGCAAGCTAGCGCGCGAATCCATGCACAAGCGCACGCATGCACGCGCACAAATTCAGACATACACAAACACACACACAGGCATACACATACGCAGATATACATGTGAGCATGTGAGGTGTTAACAGAGACATACCAAACGTACACACTCACATAGGTATACACATAGGCTCGCACTCGCACACACAACAGCACAAATACTGACATACACAACTGCAAGCAAATGCAGGTGCACACACAAATGCACACACGTGCAGGCACACACACACATACATAAACAAGCACGTAGACACACACATGCATTCATAAGTACAAGTTAGGAACTACACACGTTACCTTAAAAAGCGAATACTTTGAAAATTAACACATGCACGAAAACATAACAAAGCTTTGTCAAGGCACAGAGAAAACAACATAGCATAGTGACTCACTAAGAAAAAGCTATATCCACATTTAGATGCGCAGTGATAGTAGCGACATTTTGCTTTTTGGAGCAAATTTTGGAGCAGAAAAAATTGTGCTTTGAAGCAGCCATAAGTGTGTTCGGAGCAGAAAAAAATGCTCTAGTTTAGGGTTGCCATTGGTGTTTTTGAAGCAGATGCACATTCCTAAAGACTCCTCAAGTCTAAAACATCACTTAAGCATCCAATGAATATACTTATTATTAAACATGCCGTATGCTAGTATGGAACTAGTATACAAGCAGTATAATTGGCGAAAATCATGGGGGGGGATCAAGGAGTTAGGACTTTTCTTGTGTTCAGGTTGGGGAGGACACCCCTTGCAAGAATTTCACTTGAGATTTTGTTTTAGCACGTGATATAATTGAGTTAACAGTTCAAAATGGCGCAGCTAAATTTTTAAATAGCTTTTTACCTTTTACTGCGTACCGGTGTTAAATGCCCCTCAGCTGTGTGAACTATGCAAATCGAAAAAAAGGTGAAAAAAAGAGACTGAATAGAACAATGCTATTGTACGAACTCAGACCCCATGCTCGTTTTATTTTATTTTATTTGAAAGCATGATTTAATTCTTATATAAATAAAAATACAACCCATACTAAAAATACATATTGGACACCATGACCCGGTATGTGTCACCCCTTAAGATTTTTCTGGATTTGCGCCACTGAGTAGCATACTACGATGATTGTGCGTACAGCTTGCCTTTGGTTTTGCTTAGGCTCACGGGATGGTCTCATGATTAAACTTTATTCTTTTGAGTTCGCTAACAACATTTCGGAGCAGGCTTAAAGCAGTTACTAGTAAATATTGCACTTTGGAGCAGCATTTACCCTTTGGAGCAGTTAGGAGCAATTGGAGCACCACTTCCATCACTGGATGTGGTCGTAATGAAACTTAACAGACAGTCCGGCTATGCAATGAGCATTATAGTCTCCATACAAATTCATTCAGATATCCAGGTATATATAAGGAAATTGCTAACAATTACCTCACAAAGAACGACGTGCTTGGAAGGAATGATCTTTTTCTCAATGTTTTAAATGAACTGCTTCCCGCGCACGGCAATTTTTTCGCCTCGGGGAATATAAAATAATTTTACTCCTTTCTATATAACGTGCTGCTGCACTGAAACGCGCAGCAGCCAGGCGTCTCTACGAAGAACGAAGCTCGAAATTCAACTTGGAAACATGTTCAAAGCGGGGAGCCTGGAGGGTTCATGGCATCCGTGGTGAATGAAAAGCGCGTGAAATTCGTTTGCAGGTGCTTCACGTGACGTCGGGGTCACCTGACTAGCTGGTAGTGTACGTCCCAGCCATTCAGCACTGCGGACACGCTAGCTCGGCAAAAGAGGGGGTGAAAAAAGGGGTCAACAGCACGGCGAGAGTGAGACGGCAAAGATCAAGGAGTGTCACTACTTTCCAATATAGGTGCTTTAGACTATTTAGAACACAGTTTTTGTATTGAAAGATGGAATGTGGTGTCAGCAACCAATGTACTATACTAATTATCCCGTCAACAAGAAAAAGAAGCTTTTAGTTTTTGTCATCTTTTTCGGGTGATGACGATTCAGATACCGATGTTCATCTTGTGCCCAGAAGCGATGATGGTGAACTGAGCAGCTCCTCAGCTGATGATGAAGACAGCTCAGAAGTGAACATCACCAGCACTCGCCAATGAAGTCGCTTTGCATTATTCAGGGTTTTAAAAATTTCTACACAGTCCCAATCATCTAATGAAATAGCCTAAGTACACTTACCCTACAAAAGTGAAGAAAGCTGTGGCACCTGCAACTGTTTTATTTATAAAGTTTATATTTTTATTAGCAGCAGGTAAACGGTTTCCCATGTATAGTTCAGAAGTACTTAATTGTGTTCATTCGACTAAATAGGTTGTACAAGTATTTTTTCAGCATCAACTAGCTACTTTTTCTGAAGTAAAATTAAAAAAGTAGGCACTTTTGGTCGGAAAACATGCAAAAAAACTTTATCCCTCAAGAGGTTAAGGAGCAGCAGGTGAACTGAGTGAAATAATCTCAAATATAATACAAGCATAAAACAAAAGTAATTGAAAATACCTCATCATACCAGCACCGGTGAACTGATGCCTGAGCAGGTACACTTTTCTGATGTACATTTGTCTTCGCACTTGCACCTCTGAAAGAAAAGCACAATGACTTTGTGACAAGACATGAGAGGCAGACATGACCAATTCATCAGTAACACAGCTACATCCAAATTCTAACACAGCAACATCCAAATTCCAGTTAGAACATCTCCAATACCTGGAGATGTTCTAACTGGTCTAATGCATAGAAATTCTTCATGTAGCTTAGTTTTTTCTCCAAGTTTCAGCCATTTAATTCATTGACCCCACCTGCTTCTTTTCTCTAATATTTATTTAATGCTTTTTTCGATTCCCGCCTTTCACCTTGTCTCTTTGGTTTCAGCTGTTTTTAACGCTGTCTCGTTGCATCGCATAGCATTGTCCCATGGTGCATTATAGCATAGTTGCTGGTTGCAGTGAAAAGTGTGTGCATCTGTTTTTTAATGCTGTCTCGTTGCATCGTATAGCATTGTCCCATGGTGCATTATAGCATAGTTGCTGGTTGCAGTGAAAAGTGTGTGCATCCCCTTGAATCAAAGTTTCCCTTTCCCACCTTTTTACTATGCTATACCACGGCTGCTACATCTCTCCCCTATGGTGAGGCCTGCCGAGTCATCTCCTGAACTAACAAACGCACGTCGAAATAAAAGTTCACTGACAGACCACGAATGGAGGTGAGGGCACTGTATATAGCCAAGGTAATCACCCTAGTACCTGCTTGCAATGTGTCACGCGAAGGTGTAATCCCACTAATCCTCTCTGTTTTGTGACAGTGGTATCCTGCCGTCATGCAAACGGAGTGCATGCCATTTTGTTTTTCAGGCTGCTGTTAGTTTTAAAAGTCCACGCTCTTTATCAAGAAGCTACCGAGTACATTCCTTGTCAACCAGGTGGTGTTTTTAGCACCTCGCTATAAAACATGCAAATTTATTTTCAGAAGCCACTTCTCCGGTAGCCCTCTGCCTGTGAAATCTTGCAAGCTACGAGTAGTAAATGATGCATTAATTTTCATTATGTTAAGTTTTAATGGCGCAAGGGCATCTTATGCCAAAGAGCACCAGTACAAGCGTTGATTCATTTCAGGTTATTAGTCTAAATTTTAAAACAAATGCTGTGTAGGAAATGCTTATAAAATATTTAAAACGCAGTACATTTAAAAGAAATGTCACTTTGTTACAGGCCTCCATTTCACAGGCTGGAGTCTGATGATAAATGAGTCAGCAAGGCCCGAGACCCTCACGGCTGAAGTCCTTGCATGAGCAACAAGTGCAAAGGCTCAGATGCGTTTTTTGTGTTTTTTGCACGAGGCGGTACCTCACACGTGAGGCCCAGCTTGGTGTCTATGTTGGAATAATATTATTGTTATAAATTTTACTTTCGCTAAGATAATGAAGAAGTCTCTTAAGGTCAACCACTGCATCAAGTAGTAAAAACAGCGCGGGATGAAGTGGAATACTGATACCGGTAGTTCGCTGTTATTTCGATGAAGTTTCTCGGATTTTTAATTTCGAACAAGGCAAGCAACTTGACCCTTCCTGAAATGGGTCAGTCGTGCTTGGTGAAGCACAGGACATTGAATGAGAGCATGCAAAACGGTTAGACTCTTCCACAGTGTATACATGTAGTGGATCAGTGCCTGTCAAAAGGTGTTCATGTGTGGCACAAGTGTGGCCTCTTCTGAGCCTTGTTTGAGCGACTTCAGCGAATCGTTTGAGTTTTTGTGGATAACTTTCCTTAGTTGGGGTTTTACAAGGTGGAGTTTGTTGTCGACTTGTTTGTCCCATTTAGCTTGCCAGCGGTTGCATAGACCTCTACGTACAACAGGCTTTAGGTCTACACCAGAAACAGAGGTTATATCTATGGTTTGCCGACCAGCGGCTTCTTGTGCATTCTTGACCACTATTTCATTGCCCGAAATTCTAGAATGACCTGAAACCCAGGAATAGAAAGTTTTAGGTTATAAACTGTATAGATTTGGTTGAGGAGCTTGTTGAAAGTGGGGTTCTTGCTGTACTTGCCACAAGACAGGGCCCTGACAACACTTAAAGAATCTGTGTACACTATAGATTTTTATATCTTGTGTTGTTTAATGTGTTGTATAATAAGCAGGATACCATAGGCTTCTGCCGTGAAAATGCTGATATGTGTATGCATGGTTCTGGTGTCGGAGAACTTTTGTCCATAGGTTGCCCAAGATACAGATGTTTGAGATTTTGAGCCATCAGCCAAGAATGCGGCTGGACAATACTATTTGTAATCAAGGGCCAAGAAATGTTGCTCAATGAGTGCACTTGGACAATTTTCCTTTATGATGTCTTTGAAAGACCAGTCACAATTGACTGGACACTGCTGCCAGAGAGGAATGTGTTTGGCATGGTAACTTTCCTCTAAGTCATTGAAAAAAATTGCAAGTTCTGCTACTGCAGGTCTTATTGCCAATGGAAACGGTGGGGCGATAGAAGGGCGGTTTAGGTATAACTGAGCAGTAGACACATCATTCATAAGTGTTTTGCATGGGTGCTGCTTCAGAGACATGATTTTAACTGCATAGTTCACTCCTAGATACGTGCACTGATAGTCCAGTGGCCACTGATCTGAATGTGCCTAAAGGCTGTGAATAGGGCTGGTACGGAAGGCACCAAGTGCCAGCCGGATACCTAAGTAGTATACAGGGTCTAACATTTTGATTGCTGTCCTTGAAGCTGACTGATATACTTTGCACCCATAGTCTATACGTGACAAAACCAGGCTTCGAAACAGAGATATGAGACAGTGCCTGTCTGTCCCCCACGACTGATGCGATAAAATCTTTAAAAGGTTCATGGTCCTTAGACATATTAGCTTCAGCTGTTTGATATGCTGGATGAAGGCGAGTTTAGCATCCAAAATTACTCCGAGAAATTTTGTTCTTTCGCAATGACTAAGCTTTGTCCATTCATTAGTATGCAAGGGTCAGGATGTACACCTTCTTCGTCTGGAGAAAAGCACACTAGTAGTGCCTGTCAGCGTTAAACTTAAAACCATTCTCATCAGCCCATTTCGCAAGACGGTTAACACCTAACTGCATCTGACTGTTCGCATACAGTCAAGTTACACGATTCGAAACTGATTTAGATGTCGTCCACATATACGGAGTACGATATCGCTGGCAGAATAACAGAGTGAAGAGAGTTCATTTTAACTATACATAGTGTGCAGCTTAATACTCCTCCCTGTAGCACTCCATTGTTTTGAAGAAATGTGCGCTATAACACAGTGCCTATTCTTACACGGAACTTTCTTTCAGACAGGTAATCTTTTAAGATAGTAATCAACCAGTCACATATGCCGAAAGACGATAGGTCTCTCAGGATTCCGTGTCGCCAGGCAGTATCATATGCCTTGATGGTTCAGCGAACTGGGAGCACGGGGGTAGACACAGTCACAAAGCAAAGAGGAGGCACACAGCACGAGCGCTCCCAGTTCGCTGAACCAGCATGAATTACCAACTAGTCCACCTTTCCATCCTATCATATGCCTTCTCAAGATCAAAGAAAACAGACGTACAGTATTGATTGTGTACAAAAGCGTCACGTATATATGACTCCAGTAGGACAAGATTGTCAGTTGTGGATATAGGTGTACGAAAGCCAGACTGGCACGGTTCCAATTTACCGTTGTATTCTAAGTAATAGACCAAGCGGCGGTTAATCATTTTTTCAAACACTTTGAGCAGGCAGCTTGTGAGGGCGATAGGCCTGTAACTGCTGTGGGAATCGAGAGCGCCCTCCTACCTGGCGCCTCGTTCCCCAGCTGCCATGCGCGCGCCGACGGCGTAGCCTGGGCGCGCATAAGCATCGGCATCCGCCAAGATGGCTGCCAGGGTGCCTCTTGGTCGGGGCGAGTCAACCGTCGGCTTCTTCCCGCGCTGGCATGTCCGGGCACGCTACGCTGGTGCGCTGCGCAGGCCTACGTCACAACGCAGCGCCATTTCCCATTATACGCACGTGACATCCTCCTCTCCTACGAGCTGTGTTGCGCCCGACGATTCGCTCGTCGCGGCAGATGCTCTCAGGCCTTCAGAAGGGGTTGACGCGCTGCTAAGCAGGCGGCTTCACGTTCGTGCGTTCGACTTCGGCCCTTGTGCGGGAGTCGTCGCGCCCTAGGCAAGCGTACTTGCTCGGTCTTGCGGAGTTCCCTATACGGCCTGCAAGCCCATGAGTGTCGCACTGTGCTACATCTTGGGTTAATAAACCCGTTGTTGTTGTTATCCTGCCTCGTGCGTGATTTCTGCGCCATGCCGGAGAAAACGACGAACCCGGCCGCAACGTCTTCGCACGCAGCGGCAGTGGAGGACGTCGCATCCCTACACGGTTGCGCATAGTAGGTATGCCTAGTGCAAACCTATCTCCACACTATTTACCGAAAAGTGATCTTTGCCCTGTTTAAGGATTGGTAGTACTATTGCCTCTTTCCAAGTAAAGGGTATTATGTCGATATTGAAAATCTTATCGTAAAGTGCTAAAAGGCAGTTCAGGGTTTCATCAGGATGATTTCCGATCATTTCATGGGTAATTGTATCAGAAACAGGGGCAGAACTTCCACAGGAACCAAGGGCAAGCTTCAGTTCATATAGTGTTAGTGGTTCGTTGTGTCCGTCTGATACAGGCCTGTTCGGGCACAGAGGTGCACTTTCAGCTATGCTTTTGTGGCGTAAGAGCTTAGCGGTATAATTTTCTGAGCTTGATATTTTCTCAAAATGTTCGCCAAAAGCATTTGCTTGTTCTTCTATTGTATCACCGCAGTCATTCACTAAAGGGAAGGGATTTGGGCCTTGTCCTTCAAGTTTATGCACCCTATTATACACCTTGCTGGCGTCTGTGTAGGAGTTTATTGAGGATATGTAATGTGTCCAGCTTTCCCGTTTGGCTATATGGCGAATACGCCTGCCATTCGCTTTGCAACTTTTAAAGTTCATAAAGTTTTCTACTGTTGGGTAGCGAGAAAAAGACCTCCATGCATTGTTTTTTCGTTTTTTAGCTATTTCACACTCAAGATAACACCACGGCTT